TGGATCAGAATTGATTTATGGCACAGATGTAACACACATTATCTTCATCTGGATAGTGCTATCAAATTTCGTTTTACCGTCGCTTCTACTGTCTGTGACTTTCGACAACTTTTGATTACTTTCATCTTTATCTTTCATCTCGGTGTCTAGTACTTGGAAGTACTGACAGGAGGTGTGGTAATTTCGACTGTTACGCAGTAATGTCGGGTCCCACTTTGAAAATCACTGACCACTGACAGCCTCATCCATAAAAGATTATTAATCAATGAAATAAAATTTATTATAATTCGACTATCCCAGATAGCCGTAGTTTGGCAGACTAGTACTTATACTGGGTGATGATGGACGGTGAGATGAAAATCTGGATCGCGGCGGGACTCGAACCAGAGGCCACCAGGTTATAAAACGACAACTATCAAAACAAAAAGCAACCTTTAGAATTTAAACCCAAGGAAAAACACGTAGGTTGTTACACATAAAATTGCTTTTCTGTTACTTACCGATACAATTAAAAATCAACTTTAAAACATCTTTTAGAATTTCATTTCACATTTCACCATGCTTCAAAAGAAGTATTCAATAAATCTAAGCTTAGCAATGTGAGTCTGAGGACGAACGGCTGGTTGAAAAATAAAACACATTGATAGAGCTGTTCCTAATAGATGACTAAAGGTAAAATACACAGTTAGTGTCCAATATGTACAGTAATCTACGTAACTCGTGCAATCGCATCCAGTGCTAACTTTCCCAAATAAGTTAGTCATTGCTACAAGACCTTCTACCTCTTTTCACCTAGCTGTTTTCCCAAGATAGTCTAACTCATTTCTTCCCTTTTGTTAATGTGTTGCGATTTGAGTAGATCATTTATTACTCTGCATTTCATTTTTGGTTCAGATGACACTATAAACGTGTCCAACTGTTTTACCATCTGAATAAAAACTTTTACTACCCATAAAATATGAGTATAAGATATTCTGTTAAATAATTAAACGTACTGTACTAGGAATCAGAACTGTGTCTTGATGTTTGCGACCAGACGGTGTCACAGGAAAATGTACTGTGTGGTGTGATCCACGTATCCAGTTACTTGTTGAACTCCCAGTGGGAGGTGCTACAGGGAACACAGTAGGAGGGGCCATAACACCACTTACTGGAGTGGGTAATGGACGGACGGGAAATGCAGAGCTGGGGCATAACCAGAAGTTTGTGTGGGTGGTACTATAAATGAAGGAGGAGCATATACTGATGGTGGAATAAACGTAGTAGGCGGTCGGCGTCCAACGGTCGAAGAAGGCGTATTAAGCATATTTGTCCGAGGTGTTGGTGGAACCATTTCCCTTCGTTTTTCTCCTTTAGATCCAGTGGTAATCAAACTACTAGAATCCTCAGGTGTACAAGCTTTCTGCAATCCTTTTGGTTGGCTTTCTTCTTCCTCCTCCTCTTGTTCTCTCTTTTCACGTAATATGGATTCACGTTCCAACTCAGAGTCATAAAAAGCCAATGATAATGACTGTAGAGGCAAAATAAAAATAAAAATATGAGATTTACCAAAAAAAATTATATTCCAAATTAGCTGTCAAACACACCTAACATTTCCACTTTACCCACCTACACCTGAAATAAAACAAACGGGATTACACAGAAACTCTAATATAGCACAAATTTCACGTTCATGCTGAAAATACCTAAGGAGAACCGGAACAATCTAAAACTCATATAAAAAAACAGGAGTGTTTTATCATACTTCAGGTGACAGAGGAAAAGGTTCAGAGAAACAAAACAATAAGATCAGTAAAACCGAGACGAGAATCAAGTACCGTAAAATAGTGTTTACCACTATCAGAGAAATAAATAAATATGCGTCGATTTTCCCCGCCTTATTTTTCTACTCTTGTGCATACATCAGGAAGACAGTAATTTCCCGAATTAGTTCCATCCGTTGACTTCATTACTTCAAAATTTATTTACTCTTCTTTAACTCTGTCTAGCATTAAACACCGAGATAGGTATTAGCTACTTAAAAATTACATACCATATCATCTCAAAGGGTCAATGTAAGTCAATCAACTGATTTACCTCTACCTCTTTTCAACTGGAAATCATAATCAACTGACCCTATAAAGCCATGAATGATAATTATCACGACAAAAGTCAACTATTTCGGGCAGAAAATGAGTTTCTCGTGCAGTTGTAGCATGTTGGTTTAGGAAGTTGACTTTCAATCAATGGGTTGCGGGTCTAAACACCGCTTCATCTTTACAGGTATGAGCAACCAGGTGGTATCATTAACCTTCAGACAATACGTGTGCTCATTGCCTACTGAATGCATGTGCACAAGGTAGCTGGATGGATTTCGTTTTGTCATTTCGACACAGGCTTCTCCAGATTTCAAAATAGAGAGTCAGATAGTGTTATATCTAAAAGCAGCTGCTATTAAATCGCATACAATTTACACAGTCATGAAAATCGATACCAGACTTGTAGAGCTGCCTAGAAATGCGAAAGAGCACAGTAGGCTGTTACTCTTAGGAGGCTATCATTATACTCAAACCGAACGTACTTCAACTACCATTGCGTGACAGGCTAGATGGCAAACTGAGTATGCGTAACATATGTCCCAGCCATCTCGGTCAATGAAGATACATAACCTCAGTGACTGACTTTCCTCTCCTCCCTGAAACTCTACACCTGACTTCTGCATTACTCACGTGGTGACAACACGACCCACAGTGTATGCTACGTAGTTAATGTTGGTCGAATAACTGAAGCCTTCTAATGTTCTCCATCTTTAATGGGCATGTTTCACAATTATATGGTAGAACAGGGCGAACTGAAGCGTAGTACACTCGACATTTAGCAGGCAGTCGGATATCAGGGCGGTGCCGTGAATAGCATGACTTGGTGAAGGCCAACCGAGCCTTTTGTATCCATGCAGAGATTTCATCGGTCACTGACCCACCAAGATTGGTGCAGCTTCCCAATTGAGTGAAGTGGTCAACGCGACCAACCACTACATTCCCTACTGCTAGACAGAGCACTAGTGAAGATCAGTTACGGAGCAACGATTTACATTTGAGTGGCGAGAAACACATCTCAAATTACTACTCGGGGTGTCAAGATTATGCATCTCGTCAGCGTCTTCACGTATCAGTAACATGTTGCTTGCATAATCTGGATATGCTAAGGAGCTCAATTATTGTAAAGGCGGACCCCATTCAATAAGTCTGTGACGTACAGCACTGGACGTTCACAACTCAACCGATAACTCACCGTAGGCTAACATAAGCCAACGGATTTTTAACTACACAAACTTCAACTCAGTGGTATACTTAGTTGTGATAATTCCACTAGACATCTTGATCGACAGGGTCAAGAAATACAGTCAGTGTCGGCCGCCCGTAAATGTCGGTGCATACACGAGCAAGTTGGAGACCTGTCTGGTTTTCTTGGGTGATGGCGATTGCAGAACCTAGAACCTTAGACTATTTTTGTCAGGTTGATTCCCCTGTGATTATCACTAGAGGACTTCTTACTTTTTTGAAGACTAGGACAATCAGTGATTGAGACCAGTCAGATGGGATCATATCTGACTCCCATACATTCCGTAACACTTCAGTTAGCCTAACCAATAATCTGCTACAGCCGTTCTTAATTAACTCCTGTGCTATTCCATCTGGCCTTGCTGTCCTTCCTCATTTCAGACCACGAACAGCCTTTTCGACTTCTGCAAGTGTTACAGGCCTTATTTAAATGTTCCATTCAGTATGCTGGTAGATAGCAAGCTATAGAAGGGTTGTTGGCATAGTCTTGATCTGTACAGAGAAGCGTTTCAAGAATCGTTTTAGTTGTTGTCTCTGTGCGATTGACTTTTTTTCTCCGCTACTGACTAGCTAACCGTTTACTTTTAGTTCGGCTTTCTTGATGTCTAAATATAACTGTCTAATGGTACTTATCATTTCTGCTCACTACTGCTCACGGGCATTAGATAGATTCTTTGTCGGTCTAAGTTGGAATGGGTTTTGTCGCTAATCGTGCTCGAAGCATGCAGAAATATGCTCTCTCTCTCTCTCATCAATGAATTCAGAAGTACCCGGTGAGATCCACTGGCTGTTTCTAACCTCGTTTTGAGTGCCAGCTACGGTCTTCAACAGTGTTCTTACAGCAGAATGGAGATGGTGCCAGGTTTCTTTTGGATGAGTGATGTTGAATATCGATAAATGTCTAGTCAATTCTTTGTTGAAAACAACTTTTGGATTGTCATCATTGAGCTGCAATCGGAATCTTTTCGTAGCTGTATATTTTGTGCTTCATGTGTATATACTCGAAAGAAATCGTGACGAATGTTCAACAAACATTCGGAGAATCAGCGTTATTCTTTTACGGACCATCCTCAATACATGATAGCAGTAATCATATGTGTTCACCGCTGAGTTCTGAACAGAGGAATGCTTTTTAGGCAATCTTTATCCTCATGTCTGAAGTTCGTGGTGGTCGGAAACAGATGTTTTTTTTTTTCAGTAAAGTTGCAGTCGCTGATCATGCATGCATTTACTTAATAAGCATTTGAACATTCTTGCATTAGGCAAACAATGATACATATTGTGTGAAGGTTATTGATACTGCCTTGCCGTCGAAATGTGGAGCGGCGCTCGAACCCGCGGTTTACTGGTTGAAAGTACCGAAAACAGTAAACGACAGCTCAAATGCCGTCATCGTTTGGTTCGGCCAGGATTCCGAAAGTGCTACCTACCTTTATCCGAGCTGAGATTACTGGGTGCATGAGTAGAGATCAAAAACGTTCAGTCAAACAGCACATACATGACTGTCAACTGGGATGCAGAAGAGCAGTGTACTTTTTTCGGTTGTACTCAAAACTTTGAGAACTAGGGATCGAATCTTCAGAAACTCGAAGAGTGAGTTTTTCGAAGTCAGTATATTGCCAGGTGAAGTTAGGTGAATAACAACACTTGAATCCTGCATGCATGTCTCGGAAACAGCAAATATGCACGGCCCGAAATGCCAGTTTTGGCCAACAAGGCTTGTTGGCCAATTCGACAAAGGATGAGAGTACTAAAAGCTTCAGTGCTCAGCTTGAATAGCAGCTGCAGGAGACCAGGGATGCTGTCCCATGAACTCAAATAGCTACCAAGAGTGTTAGCTGATAGACGTGAAGGGAAAGTAGGTAAGGATATGTAAGACGGTTAATGATCTGAGGGAGCTTGAGTGGTTACTAGGTTGTGAGTATTATGTTCCTGAGTATAAGACACCAATTATCACTGACTACAAAAACCCAGATGGAAATCGAGAGGACGGAAAACTGGGCTGAACAGTAGTTTAGAACCTCGAAAAGATTGGAAATAATCCGAAACACTCGTGCATGTATACATGAAAAGTGACCTTGTCCGTAATTTAAAATATTAACATAATGAAAACAAATGATGAACGACCAGGGAATTGCTGCCTACACTATGGAAGGCTAGTTCATATCGAGGAGCCTGAAGCAGAAGAGTTGTTAGTAGTGGTGCTTGACAGTAGTGCCCAAGGGTTATCTGCTTGAGGCCAGTCGCATTTGGGCTTTCTGGAAATTTGAGACTGCTTTTTTCGAATCCACTCATGAAGTCACACTACTGGCACAGGAACACCATGGGATATATGAAAGTATGCTTTCTCTGGAGCCGACTCTCCCTTATCATCATTGAGAGACATGAGGAAGATTAGAAGGTAATAATGAGGGAGGTGGATAGCAGTCTGAGGAAACTTGAGTGCTGACAGAGTTGTGAGGGCGGTTGACACTTCCCAGCTGCCCACACAGTGAAAGACTATTTCTTCGCAAGGTACCTGAAAGAGATTTGTGTGACCGCAGAGCCCATCAGACATCTGCTTGAGGCCTGTCACACGCAGCCTTTTGTGTATGGTTATTTTGGACTTTTGTTGTTTCAGTGCGAGATGGTCGAAAAAAACGACAAATGAACCAACACTGCCGGCCTAGCAGACCATGGGGCATGGTGGAGTGTTATTTTGGGGGCCGACCTTTTCCAACCCCCCCCCCACCTTTCACTGAGAAGGCAGCATCAGCATGGCACTGCTGGTCATCTAAGGGAAACACCTTACTGCTGTCACATCCAACCCAGCCAGCAGCAGTACGACTTCGCCCTCAGACCCCCATCATAATGTAGTAATTTACACCACAACGGTAACTGCTTTCGTCTAACCACCATCCAACAAACCTTTCTGGTATGGTAGGACCTCGAGGGAACAAGTGTTCCACCAGTATAACTCGTCGAGTCATTGTGATATGCAAGCCCGATCACCACCTCGAGGTAGCAGATATCTCCCACCTTTTCATAAAGAAGGCAGCATCCGCATTCTACTGCTTGTCATCCGTGGGAAACGCGTTACTTCTGTCACATCCTCATCCAGTCTGCAGTATGACTTAGCCCTTGGACTGTATCATAGCATAGCAATCTACAACATAACCGTAACTTTTTGTCTTAGCGCTATCCAGCTGAT